GATAAGAAGAAGAAGAGGAACAAGAAGTCGGTGGAGACTTACAAGATCTACATCTTCAAGGTTTTGAAGCAGGTTCATCCTGACATTGGAATCTCAAGCAAAGCTATGGGGATTATGAACTCGTTTATCAACGATATCTTCGAGAAGTTGGCTCAGGAGTCTTCGAGGCTTGCTCGGTACAACAAGAAGCCGACGATTACTTCCAGGGAGATTCAGACCGCCGTGAGACTTGTACTTCCCGGTGAATTGGCGAAACACGCTGTATCTGAAGGTACAAAGGCTGTAACCAAGTTTACAAGCTCTTAGAGATTTGCGTAGATGATCTCCTGCGTTTTGTTGTAAAAATTCGAAGTGGATCTTGAGTTGAAACTTATGTAATCATTCGGTGATAAAATGATATGATATGGAATTTAGGTTTTCGTGAATTTGTTCAATTTTATTCAGTTCGATTGATCTACGAATTTGGGGATTTTAACCCTAAATTTGAATCAAGCAAAGGTTAATCACTTCTGTTTCAGCTTCTTCTCCATGCTTTGTCTTGTCAATCTTGCCACAATGGATTCAACTGATTTCTTTCTTTAGTATTTTCATCGTTTGTTTTTCTGATTTTGTTCTTGATCGATTGTGTCCATATCAAGTTCATTAAGGGATTACGTTAGGAGGCTGATTTTCATTTGCAATATTGGTGTGTAAACTCGCCATTCCTCTCTCGTCTCATACTCTAGCATGTAAGGTTAATTTCGGATAAAGATTAAGGGGACATTTGACAAACGCTTATTAAGTCACATTACCTTATCGAATGACATAACAAAGATCAAAAATCTTAGGCAATAAGTGAGAGTGACAAATTTCACTTGGTTAGCACTTACTGGGGGTGAATTATTGCATAACATGCCGTTTTGATAGATTAAAATCTTACCCCATAACGTAACTGATAGTGTTGTCCTGCCCAAAGTTTCAACACATTAGGCTAACAATATTATGCTAGCATACATAATGCTAGTAGGATGCTCACAATAGGAGAAGCTAGTACAAAACTTTGCGATGAATATTACATAGCCCTGCACATACTGCTCACAAAGGGTTTTCATGAAAATTTCAGACTTGTATGCAAAGAGGACGTTCAAATGAATGTGAGAATATAGCCAATTCTTTCTTTGACCTTGAGGCTCATGATCTTGAACTTAACCTTGGTCCTTTGGTCCAACTGCTTTTCCTTTTTTTTGTTTGCTTGTTTGAACAAACTTGAAAATTGTCATCGATTTATGTCAGTGAGTATATAAATGCAGATAATTCACTTGGAACATCATATGCCACAATCCACATCCAACCTGTACCTGTTATGCAAAAGGGAGATGATTACCTGTCGCAATAATACTTTCCCCAACATCACCCATTTTAAGTTTATTTACTTAATCAACAACTATCATTTCACCTTGTAAAGAATGACCACAATCTTAAGTTCTTAACGACTATCATTATTGTGAAACCTGATTATGTGCAACTCCCTAATTGATTGTATAATACTCTAAATCCAATACCATTTTAACAAAAATGCGTTTTAATTACAGCCAAACAGGAAGAATCAAAGAAATTGATGGGTTACCTGAAAATAAGAAGATCGAACCAAATGGTTTACATGAAATTGTATGAGAAGCAAGAAAAAAAAACCCTAAATCGATGGAGCACGGGGCGCATGAAGCAGCGATACTACAAATAAAATCTGCCTCGGAGGCTGAATCGTTGTCTTGGAGAAAACATTCGTTGCTTGAATCTAAGTTGTAAAATGAATCGTCACTATATGAAGGTCATTGGTGGGGTGTGAATTTGAGTTGTAAAAGGCTTTTATGCACAGTGGAGTCATAACTTAGGATATTAAAGTTGTAATTAAGACTTTGTGCATCAAAATATAGTACTTTATGCATTTTAGATTGTTTTCAAGACTTTTATCAAATCTATAGTAAACATTAACATAAAAATAGTTTTGATCACGATTTTTGACAAAAGACAAATGAAAATAACTCAAATAAAGAATTTGTAACATAAAAACCTTAAAGAAAAAAATTGATATATAATCAATGAAAACGTGGTTCCCAAAATGTCAAATGCAAGAGTCACTAAAATACATTGGTTGCAAAAGATATGATATGAAAGATAACTAATCGTCATAATTCCCTACTCGGTCAGAGGGATGCACACCCTCTCATCGGATCAAACAATATCGATATAAACCATATACATGAATGATTTGTGAATATCGAAATGGTCTACCGCTTTGTCTTTATCAAACAGGACATAACAAAACAAAACAAGAAAGACGTCACATACACAGAAAAAAACAGAACTTTTGTTCACTGTTTGGTAAGACCAGACATTATTGGACAAAAACAGAGAATCAAGTTTTAGCTTGAGTGTATAATGGTAAAATTTAGGCTTGTTCCACTTTGTTTTTATATATTACGTATAAAAATTATGTCAAATATGAAATAATGATTTACATTTTGTTCTGTTCAATATACCAAAAAGGACACGTCCTGTAATTTTCGAAGAGAAGAGAAATTTAGATTCCTATTTATATATATTTTAAGTTTTATCATTTTATATTACAATAAAAAAAACACCAAACTCAACAACCCATGCGAAAACCATGTTGACCGTACGCGCGAAAGCCCAAATTTCGAAAACTTTCAGATGACTTCAATCTCAACCGTTGATTAACATATCCATATTATCTACGGTCTCAATTCATAATCGGTGTCAACCGATATCCACCAATCAGATAACAGCTTTACCCTTATATATAAACATCAACAACCTACCTTTCCTTCCACCAACACGCAAAGCATCCATTTCTCTCTTAACTTCAAACCAAACACCTTTTTCGATGGCACCCAAGGCAGAGAAGAAACCGGCGGAGAAGAAGCCGGCTGCCGAGAAAGCTCCGGCGGAGAAGAAGCCGAGAGCCGAGAAGAAACTCCCGAAGGATGCGTCGGCAACCGATAAGAAGAAGAAGAGGAACAAGAAGTCGGTGGAGACTTACAAGATCTACATCTTCAAGGTTTTGAAGCAGGTTCATCCTGACATTGG